GTATGTTCTCATGACATAGTACTCAATAGTAAGGGATGTTAAACTGAATATTCGGTGCACAGTAAGATGTTCTCGAGAGAACCGAATTAGAGACTTCACCTGAAGTTTTCAAAAAAAAGAATATATTTCTTTCCAGTGATTCGGAAGAGAATGGGCGATGGGGGCAATTTGAGATTGGAGAAGATATGATGGTGTTGATAGATGTAGATAGGTGGAGGTGAAGAGAAGACCCTCATCCAAAACCTCTTACCCACCAACATCCAGCCTCATCCACACCCATCGTGAAAAAATCATAATCACTTAAGTTTAATTGAATAGTGGAGTTATGCGACATTATTTTACACAAGCGACTTTTGTGACACACTGCATATTCTGCCTCAAAAGAACTCTGTGATCGCGAAAGTATATGCGAAGCATCCGGAGCTACTTGTGTGGAACAAACAATCTCTGGAAATTATGCATTCGGCTGCTTTTGTGCGAATTCCATTGCATCAATTGGCCTCCTGTGCTCGAAGAAACGAATAAGTTGATATTGTGTTTGTGTTAAAAGCTGTTCTATTAAAATTTCTGATATTGCTTGGGAATATACAGGTTGTCCCAAAAGTCTCTCATGAAAATTACTTGAATAACTTCGTCATTTCTTAACTAAAACTCAAAGTTGTTTTTTTTTGGGTTGATGGAAGAGCGTTCAAAGTCTTGCTAAATTTCATTGAAAGTTTTGTATAAAATCAGTCGGTGCGCCAGAATAACAATTCTTATGATGCATGTTTCTTCTAAACTTATTTTTGAAAGTGAATAAAGACTATTGAACTCGTAGCGATTGAACGGAATATTTGCAGGTAGATGAATGTGGATTGGGTCGGAGCGTCAGCAGATCTTTGTTCATCTACCCACACCCACCCATACTCACCTATCCACATAGGTTCACACCCATACATCCTTCAATCTTCATACATCCTCACATATCCAATTCATGTTGGTGGGAGAATAATGAGGAAGAATCGAAGAGGCTTTAAAAGATATAGATAAATCGTGACGAAAACAAAATGAAATGTAATGATTGGGGAAAAGTTTTGTCTCTTCTTATGGGCCATATCCGTTAATTTGAAATGAATAATTTGTAGTTATGTCTAGCAATATATGAAGACACAGGGAACTTTTGAATGTGCATCAGTGATCGAAAAAAAATGAAAAATAGATCGTTCGATTTGATACAATTTCGTAGAACGTGTAATATGCTGGGATCTTTATAGGGTACATCAATTCTTTTGTGCCACCTTCTTCTTCATTGCTAATGTTCGTTGTATTGTTGACTGATTCTTGTAAAAATTAAGTTCAATAGACAGCACTTTTTTCAAAACAACTTTGGTAGACAGCTAGTGCACAAGAAAACATATTTATAATTCTCTCTCTTCTATTTCTAATGCTTAAATATGGCAAAGTGAACACTGATCATGTAGATATGACGCAGTGATCGCTAAAGCTCAAAAGAATATTAATGACTGAATGGGATGGATATGCCACTTATGAAAAGTAATGCAGCTATGTATGTAAGTCGTTTTTCAAGACTTACATCTCCATTGGCTGAGCTGTCTGAGTAAGGTACTAATGAGAGCAGAATACATGTTGGCAAGTCACCGTTGGTACAGATATGTATTCTGGAGACAATACCTGAATATGAGAAATTTTCGAGATTTATTTCGTAAGAGAAGAATATAAAAATTCAAACTGTCTAATGATGAGAGGATCGAGACAATTTATAACAATTTATCTCTATAATATTATTCTGTTTTTTCGAATATTCCTTTAAGTTCATTTCAGTTATAGTGCTAATTTGACGACAAAATATTCTAATGACCTGAGATTAACACCGTAGCAGATGAGCACTTTATGTGAGAGATTGAAATCACATCCTTCATACTTCGGATAACGATCTTGTACTGCAACGGCAGCCAGTGCACATAAATTGTTGCTCGTATTCAAAAATAGAACAGAAGTGTCGAATTTGACTAGAATAAGCATTCATTTTAGTCCCGGAAACACTTGCATCAGCTGTTTCTCACCTAGATTTACCTCATTTTAATTTCTTTTGACCACTTTCCGCAAGCATAGCTATACAGATCAGGCAAATAATATATGACGCTCTAGATGAGATGATTTTTTCGCTGTCTCACAAGTCTTTGGTTTGTTTTCAAGATTTCTCAAAATCAAGAAAGCACATCTGAAGAGTCTAATCGGTATCGCTTGATTCCGTTCGATTCAATTAGATTTGATTCGATTTGATTCAATCGAATCATACCGAATCGAATCATCGACATGTTTACTTGGTTTTGGCCTCTGATGAACACAGTGGTTTTTCATCAAACATCAGTTTTTGAAAGAAAAAATTCGATTGCCAGATCGTTTGAGATCGTCTCTCTGCTTTAAAACATTGCTTAGACTACATCTAAAGCCTAAGCGTTTCGAGTTCTATATCGCACTCTATAGTACACCCAAACTACCTGCTTTGTTTACATAAATTTTTCTATGATAATAAATAGCAAGGAACACTTCAACAACAACGACAATGCCGACTGCAACGACAACTAAAGCCATTACTCAGCAACTAGATCAGCATTATATTAACGCTTCTTGATTTTGGCTATTGCTAATTTTTAATGAAGTATATATAGTTCCTTCGTATTTAATATTACTCTGCAGTTAGCTGAAGGTGGTATTGATAAGATCAGCGATCTTATATTATGAATGAGCCAATCTTTATCATAAGAGAAGAATTAAATCCTAGTAATGTCAATATTGGTTATTTTCCGTCACTATCGAAGCGTCCTTCGTTTTGCTGATATCTATAGAACGACATGCAGCCTTCTTCTTTGTTCGATATTGGTACATATAATTCCTTTTAACGAAAATTGCTTCATCTTAATTCGAAAGAAAACATTTGATTTCATTGGGTATAAAAATGTACTATATTCTAAAGACCTCCCCTTTCCTTTGCCTATCTGAATTCAGATAACCTTAAAATAAAGTGTCCGAATATTATCGAAAATTGTTTTGAAGCATTTCATTCAGAGCTTTGACTCCCAAGATCACAGAGAGCTTTGTTTAGCTTTCGCAAAAGAGTAAACATTTCAATGTCAAATGATATAAGACTAATCAAAAACTTGTTAGTTGATCATTTAGGAGAAAGATTAGAATAGATCCAGGGAACATTTTGATTGTTATGGGCATTTTATGCATATTACTTACTACATACAAATCAACTAAGGATATTTAAGATATGCGGAAATATACTGACTCGTACCATAAAGAGTCTTTAATAATGATACCAAACAAATGAATAAAATATTGAAATAAATTAAAAACATCAGAGCATTCGTGCTATTGAAGATTCAACGATACGCATTCGACAGTCTCTTTTCACTCTACTCATCTATTGTTAGACACGACCGTGAACAATGAGGCTGCTTCAAAGAAAAGGCTGCGCCTTGACTGTTCACTTGAAAGACGTCACGGTTTTCGTAGAACAAGGGATTACACATAACCAATCATCTTCTTTCTGCTATAAAACATTAGTTCATCGAGGACATCTATTCTAAGTCTGTTCTCACACTTCTCAGAATAAGGCGTTTCCTCGCCTATCATTATTTTTTTCCTGTTCCTTCTTGAATGTGTTTAAGATGCTTCTCTTCATCTTCACTCATACTTTTAAGACTCTCTGCTCAAAAGACATATCTTGTGTTCCTGGGACTCTCTAACTTTCTTTGATTTTCGAAAGCCTTTCGAATTCTCGATTTCATTTGAATCTTATCATACTTTGTACTTTTTGAATTCCTTCGAACTCCTCGATTCCTCTATTCCTTTCTTTTTTCTGTGTTTCTTGGGAATTCTTGCGTTTTCTAGACTCCCACGAATTGTTAGATTCTCTGAATTCACACGATATCGTCAATTTTTTGAATTCTTTCGATTCCGCCCTTTTATTGCGGAATCTTCCGAATTCATGAATTCTTTGCAGTTTTCAAACAACTTGAATCCCTTGAATTTCTGTGATTGTTTGATCTGCTTAGATTTGTTGGAGTCCCAGGATTTATGAGATTTTTTAGGCTTCTTTAGATCGCTTAAGTTCATTAGTTTCAATCTCTTCCTTTAATTCTGTCGATTGCCGAGATTTCGCAGTCTTCTTTATAAAAAAGACAAAGCACAGGGGCGCATAAGAAGCCAATTTGGTCCATATAATATTTTCAGTCACTTTACTGCCCATCCTATTCAGAAAAATGTGGGTGTGGGTGTAATTGAAGATAATACCCACACTCATACCCACACCACACACCCACACCCACACCCACATCCACACCCACACCCACACCCACTCTTTCTTATAATCCTGCACAGATTCTCTATTCACGATTACGACTCAGATCTCTATGTTTTTCTATCAAGATTTTCGAAAGGATTAGCATTGGTCTTTCTCACGATGCTATTTTTATCCACCGCGAAGATTCTACTTTTACGGATCTAAAAGATCTTGGCCAGAACTGAAACAAGTCCCTGCAAACACAGATAGTCATAATATCCTACAGATTTTCTCGAGGAGTGAACAAGATTGAGACTCGACGGAAGTGGCATAGCTATAAGAATTATTACGAAGTCCTTTTTCCTTATAGAAAACTAGAAAAAGGTTTCCCAATTTATATCTGCTTGGAGAACTTTTTCTTGTTTAGAATCTATGAGGGAAGGACATTATGGAAAGTGTTACCAAGTTCTCTCGAAGAAGAAGGAGAAGAATATTCTCATGTGTAACACTTTCCCCCATGATAGAGAGAGAGAAGGATCCCTGCAACAACGACGATTCCTTTTCTTTTTCGTTCATTATAGTAATTCGCAATATTCCAGCCGATGCCCGATGGAAGCAAAATGGAGTGACTGTTGCTGGAGGCCATGGAGCAGGCAACGCCACCAATCAACTCTGGTTCCCTAATGGTCTCTTCGTTCATGATGATCAAATGATGGTCATCGCTGAGTGGAAGAATCATCGTATCACTCAATGGAAGATGGATGATACGAATGGACAAGTAGTAGCTGGTGGCCATGGCCAAGGAAATCAATTGGATCAATTGAATTATCCAACCGATGTATTGATCGACAAAGAGAATGATAGTCTCATTATTTGTGATCTAGGGAATCAACGCGTCGTACAATGGTCTCGTCGTAGTGGCACAACTCAAGGAGAAATCCTCATTGACAACATCGATTGTTATGGATTCGCCATGGATGATCAGAGATATCTCTACATATCTGACTACCCGAAAGATGAAGTAAGACGATATCAAATAGGAGACAAGAATGGAACTCTCGTGGCCGGTGGCCATGGCAATGGTTCTGGTCTCAATCAACTCAACGCTCCGGGCTACATCTTTGTCGATCGACAACAGACTGTCTACGTGTCAGACTACCACAATCATCGTGTGATGAAATGGAAAAAAGGTGCAAAAGAAGGAATTGTCATCGCTGGTGGTCAAGGCCAAGGGGGTGCTTTGACACAATTGTCGTATCCTCAAGGACTGTTCGTCGATACGTTGGGTACCATCTGTGTGGCAGATTCGGGAAATAATCGAGTGATGCTTTGGCCTGAAGGAGCGAAACAGGGCACTGTCATTGCAGGTGGAAATGGTCAAGGAGCAGGAGCAAATCAGTTCAACGGTCTCGAAGGTTTGTCCTTCGATCGACATGGCAATATCTATGTCGCCGATCTGCGGAATCATCGTGTTCAACGTTTTTCAATCAAATAGACTCATTGCGATGGATTATTTTTTTCTTTCCTTTCTCTCAAATAAATCACGTTGAATTAATGAGAAAAGAATGGCTATTCTATTCGCGCGCGCGACGAGGAATCATCCTGGTGGAGCCGTGGCGAGCGTAGCGCCTATGCACGCGCGGGATAGACTCAAATCATTCACATCTCTCCCATTCGAGAGATGTGTCAATGAGTCTGGGGAGAGCTCGGTCGTGTGCCACAGACATCAAGATAGTTCCTGGCCGGGTTTATAGAGCCTACCCGGAAGGCCTGAAAGATAACAGGGGTCTAACCTCAATGGACATGACTCACTCCCTCCACTAACACTAACTTTGCTTAGTCTCACCGTAACCTCTCAATCTCAACGTCACTATCTATTGTCATCCGCTCTCCTCCCTATTCTTATCTCAAAAAAACAATTACTCACGTGTTTTCATGTTGGACGACGATGTTGTTGTTGATGACGCGACGCGATGACAAACTAAAAGGAAAAGAAAAAATTCTATTTAAACATATATGTTTAGAGAAGAAGAGAATAACTTACCCCACTGTTATCTCTCCCATTGACTTTCCACTACCTGAAATGAAAAAAAAAGTATATTAAAAAAATTTCTACTTACTTTAATTTATCCATCTCGACCTGAAAGAAAAAAAAACATAAAACAAAATCAATGGAGGACTTACTACCCTCCATATGATTCTAAAAAGAAGAAAAAGAAAAAAATTAAAACTGATACTTACATTTTTATTTATTGTATTGCTTGATATGGAATTGTTTAATTTTGTATTGTCGAAGCCAATCTGAAATATAAAAAGAAATTATTATTATTTGATTCAATAATTGAATGATTTCATCATTGGAAATAATTCATTTTCATACCTCCCAAAAATTGTTTTTTCTTGGGAGAGAAAATATTCATCATTTTTTTTCTCGTCGAAAAATAATTAAAACTCGATTTCAATTAAGCTATAATCGGGGCACATACATACATTGAGATATATTCAATCACAAATATCTTAATGTATTTGTATAGATATAGCTTAATTGATATACACATCAATTATGCCATGTTATCATTGATCATCAATGATAACATGAACGATGACTTATGAGCGAGAAAAGAAAAATAGAAAATTCGTCTCTTGACCTATTTCTTTTTTCTTTCTTCTCTCTCACATGTCCCGCTGTCTTAACAGAACACGAGAAAGAATGAACAAAAGAAAAAACAAAATCAATGATCGTTAACATGGTCAATCGTGAGCACAGAAGAGACGAATACACACAAAAGTATGTTTTCATTGTTCAATTGTTTTTTTTTTTCTTTCACATTATATTTATTTATTCGAAAGCAGACATTTTTATTAAAATTATTTATTTTTTAAGCTCGTCTTAGTGGCTGCGCAAAAATTGATGTGGACATATGATGGGGAATTAGAATTTGTGGCAAATTCAAAATTTTTAAAAGAATTTCTATTTGCGACAAAATCAAATTATGCCGCGATTCCGATATAGCGGTATAAGGATATTATCTTATACCAGTGTTGCGGTATTGTGGTATAAGCGCGGTATAAGGATACTGTCTTTTACGACTGTTGTGGTATTGCGATGTAAGCAGCATATGTATGGTTGGCGACTGAATTTTTTGTGGTATAGTGGTAGTAATATTATCAGTGTAAACGCTATAATGTTTTGAGTAGAAATGTAACAGAATGAGAAAGATATAGTTGACAAGACTATTGTATCAGGAGATTTTGATGATGAAATTCAGGAAAGATGTACGCTTACGGATGTGACTTAGTTTTGTATGGTGATTTGAGGGAATCAGTGGAGGAGGTTGTTTTTTGGTATTGAGGCGCGATTGTTATTGAATCTTCATAATTTCCTTCTTATTTGAAAACTGATAACTTAATGGAAGATATAGTGGTAGGTGTGTTTGGAGATTGAATGGTGCTTTTTGTTGAACGTTTTCGTTGACAATAATCGATGGGATAGATAAGGATCGAATATCTTGGAATTGTTTGTGGGTAGTGATAGATATATACCATAGATTTTGAAGAAGATTTTTGCGGATTATTGGTTGTTGATGACGAAGAATTGCGTTTGAATGTATTTCTTGTGACATGAGACATTGATGAATGGAACAGTCACAAGAAGTAATTATCCGGTGTCCCAGGAATAATGAGCCTCCCAGTATTTTTAAGATTTCCTGTCTATTATCACTGTAAGTAAAGCTCTCATTATTATCAAAAGATAGCGCTTAAAATTCTCTACAAAACCATAGATGNTCTAGAACTGCACAAAGTTCGACTACCTCATGACAGCACCAAACCCTATACTGGAAAGTTTTTCGGTCAAAAGCTAGTCGAATTAGACTGACAGGTCTTACCTCATCCACCACATTCATCAGACGTAGTACCTTCTGATTATCATCTGTCCCGCTCACTTCTCAATCATCTGCGTGAGAAGCACTTCGATGATCAAGACTACTTAAAATCTGACCTCGAAACTTTCTTTCAATCTCATTCTAAGAAATTCTATGAAGATGGTATTGTAGATTTGCCTAAGAGATGGAGGTATGTCGTAGATAATAATGGTGCATACATTGTTGATTGATAGTTTTTTGTTTCAATAAAATTTAAAAAAACTGAAAAGAAAAAAGTCGATGGAGACTTTTGCATCAACCCAATACATTTAAAGAACCAAGTTCCGTCACAAAAAATGCTCACCTCAGTGAGCTCTTTCATTCTATATAAGACAGTACGAGGTTTGTCGTAAAAAGTACTATGGGCCGATTTCTGGTCCTATACGCCCCGTCCTTTGAAAATAACTCCAAAAAACGCAATTGATCATCGAGGTCCTCTAACACATAATCAACATATTCTTTCTCTCATTAACTCCTATAGTTTTCTTCACACTCTAATATGAATGATCTTCTACCATCAGGATAATCTCTAAAACATCAAGTTTAGCCATTCGATGTAAGATTATCACGAAAATCCTTCGTTCTTTCAAGATTCCTTGAATTCATGTGGTTTCTTACATGAATTGTTTAAGTTCTCTTCTCAACGAAATGATCTTTGCAGAAAATATCAACAAATCCTTACCGGACAGTTCTCTAAGCAGATATCTATGACGTGATAAGATCTGAAGAGCTTTCTCATATTTATATCCACGCGGGAAGAAACCCTTTCAAATACCTCTATATCGAAATATCTTATTTTCAGCAAATTCCTCTCGCGAGCGCCCACGAGAGAGGGAGATGACGAGGATCTCTTTTGATTGTTTGTTTCTTATAGTCATCCCCACTGTTCCTGTCAATGCCAAATGGGCACAGAAGGGCGTGGGTGGATGTCAGTGTGCGCGTGCATCACTTCTTGATACACATCCACCCACACGCCACACCCTCTAGCACAACAAATATACGACTAAGAGACCTGAAACATTCAGCAAATAATGTATGACAACCGGGCCACATTTTGGCGAAAACTGCAACTCCATATCTTGAACTCGTCTTGAGATATTAAAGGAACAAGGTCATTTGTCAGATGTATGATCAATTTTGAGCATCACTGTATATTCACAACCGTACCCAAACTAATTACTACTCACCGCCTTCGTACCATTAGCTTCAGAATGGCTTTCTTTTGTGACGCAGATAGTGACCAAAGCAAAAACCAGCTACAACGATAAGCGTTTCATCTCGATCGTGTAATGTCTGACATGGTATCTTTAGCATACCCCATGTTTCCTTTTGCATACCAACTACCAACCCTAGCCTGCCAATCGACAGCCAGGGCATCGAATCGAACTCTCCAGCCGCATCAAGCCTCGAGCTTGCGTGAGAATATTTCTAGTACCAAAGATCACGCCGTCACTATCCGCGTATTCATCTCGAAAATAGCAGATGATGCTTCTAGCATCTCAGACATTGTCTATAGCATTCCAGATGCTCTTTCCAGTATCCGGATATATCTTTTAGCTTTCCAGGTAATGCATCTTGGATCCCTGTTATGGCTTTCAGCATTCCACATGTTTCGTCTGGCACCCGAGATTTTGCTCTAGCATTCCATATGTCGCGTTTAGCATTCTTGTCTAGTTCTCTTCCTTCTCACGAAGATCCTCATCTATACTTGCTAAAAACCTTTCTCGCTGATCTTGTCAAAACCTCATATTACTTCGCTAAAAATTTCTCTTGATCCATGCCATTGTTGTGCTACTTGCAATACCACTCAAGTAAATCCGTAGTTGGAAACTTGTGACAAATCGCTCTGAAACCATGCTGAGAACTTCTTCCGGAAGTCTCAAGGTTTCCTATAGAGCTCTGTTAGTTCGTTATAGGCTTTACTGAGATATAACCACGTAGAAGTCTAGAACACATTCCTGCTGAGATCCTTAGATTTTCTTATAAGACAAAAGATCTTAGATAAAACTTACACAAATCGTTTGAAAATACGATCATTTTTATTTTTAATGTCAAACGACAAAGAAAAAACTTTTCATAGATGTTTGATAAGGACTCATCCGATGTGACTTTATCTCTGCGAGGAGAACCTTCTTTATGGTTCAGATATTGTTAGAGGAGAGATAATTCTCCTCTTTTGTAACGGATTCCCTTTCGAAGAAGAATTTTTCTTTTGCGCAACCCTTTCTCTTACGAAGAGGATCTATTTAACGATGATTCTATGTCTCGTTTGTTGTAGCAATTCCTAATATTCCCATCAATGCCCAATGGGCACAGAATGGTATCACTGTGGCTGGAGGAAATCGACAAGGCAATGGAATCAATCAACTCTCTAACTCATTGGGTTTGTATGTTGATGATGATCAAACTGTCTATGTCGCTGATCAGTGGAATCATCGTATTGTGGAATGGAAATGGGGTGCGACGAGTGGCCAAGTGGTTGCCGGTGGAAATGGGCAAGGAAGTGGGGCCCATCAGTTGTATAGCCCACAAGATGTGATTGTCGACAAAGAGAGAGATAGTCTCATCATCTGCGATTATTCGAATAAAAGAGTGGTTCGATGGCCTCGTCGAAATGGGACAAGTGGAGAAACGATCATCTCGAACATCGATTGTGTGAGTTTGACAATGGACGAGAATGGATCTCTCTATGTCACTGACTATGGAGAAAATGAAGTGAGACGATATCGAAGAGGAGAATCTCAAGGAACAGTGGTTGCAGGTGGCAATGGAAGTGGAAATCGTCTCGATCAACTCTCTTCTCCACAATACGTATTCGTCGATCGAGATCATTCAGTGTACGTGTCTGATTGGAGAAATCATCGTGTGATGAAATGGGTGGAAGGTGCAAAACAAGGCATTGTCGTGGCTGGTGGTCAAGGAGAAGGAAATGGTCTTACACAATTGTATTATCCTGAAGGAGTCGTTGTCGATCAATTGGGCACTCTCTATGTGGCTGATAGAGGGAATGATCGAATCATGCGTTGGCCCAAAGGAGCCACACAGGGAAGTGTCATTGTTGGTGGAAACGGTAGAGGAAAACAATCGAACCAACTCAATGAGCCCATCGGTTTGTCATTCGATCGACACGTCAATCTCTATGTCGTCGATTGGGGAAATCATCGAATGCAAAAATTCAATGTCAATTCAAATCCATAAGAGTTATCAAAATGTATTCTTTTACCTAGAACGCTCAATCAAATAAATCAATGGATTGCAATGATGCTGAAGTAATGTGAAATCTGGTTTCATCAAATAATCGAAGTCAATACAGGTTGAGTGCTGGTTGTTGCTGAACGTAGATGAGAGCAGTTGTGTATCATTTACTACTTAGATGTTGAATTGGATTCGTAGTGCAAAAGTTAACTTGAATCGACAAATTTGAAGGAGGAGAAAATCCTTTTATGCATTAAATACGTAGAAATGAGTAATAAGATAATAATATAATGTCATCCAATGTTAGGAACCATCCTTTGTCGTCCATAACAGTTTTGTTTTCGTTCGCTCGTCATCAATGGATTGCGATAACTTATCCACGATTCGGTTTTTCTCTGTTTACCAGTTACTGTTTTTCTATCTTTAATTGAAATGAGCAATCCATTAGGAGCGCAGAATCTAGCATCCACTACTGAGTTTGGGGGAAAGACAATGAAAACAGCAACAAGGGAAAAAAATGTAACCCGTCACTGAGTCACAATGTGGAACTTATACTTTTTTACTATTATCAGTTCAAAATAAAAGTATTTCTGTTAATCTATCGTTAGGAGAGAGCATCTACCAACCTTACAGTGTGAGAATTTTTGAAAGACGGGTCTTAATGAGTGTTTAAGTGTAGAACTAGAAAGTTGGAATCTATGGATGGGCAGATCCAAAACCTCAAAAGTCATGTAGCTTGTCTCAATACTAATTTCAGAAATAAATCAATATTTGAAAATTGAAACAAAATGATCTTGCGTCTTTTGATATAGTAACTCTCATTTCAGCAAGTCAAGAAAAAAATAAACCCGAAATCATTCAAAAGATAAAAGCAGGAGATATAGTTCTTATGTGTGTGGATCACTTTTGATGCATGTACAATGTCCACTAATAAAGAAATTAAGTTAATCGCTGGTGAGCGTTGTTTCTAGTATTTTCTTCAGAATGTTCAGCTTTCCGGACGTTTTCTAATCGACTTCCTGCCCTTTATAGGGAGTTTGATGTCTTGATATTAAGTTAAAACAAACGGCACAAAATAATAAGAAAGCTGAAGTTTCACTGAAATATTTCGCTGGAAAATCTTGGAGCGACTTCTCGAATAGTTTTATTTTATCATGAGTTAACAGAGTCAAACATCGCTTGGTCACAGGGATCATCTCATGATTTACTGATTGTTTGCTTTTTAATTGCAGCAAATGAATTGTTACAAAATATTAAAATTAGATAAATCAGAATGTTGGGAAGTCATCAGGAAAAACGTCAAGAATCAGAATATTTCTGATCAATTCAGCAGATTTAACCATCCTCCCTCTTTTTATTTTGAAAAAGCTGTCGTATGATGCAAAAGCATTTCCACTAATCTGCGCTAATACAGATGATAGAAGAAAGCTAGAAGAACATTCTGTCAAAGTTTGATTGAGTTTTAGAATACAATGTTGAATGGGGAACTCATTTTATTAAACATAGTTGTGAGAAAAATCACCACAGGAAAAACTTAATTTTCTTTCATTAAGTCTCGAGCTTAAATTAAGACACATGCTTAGTAGCGAATAGTAAGTGATGTGCAAATCCAGAATCTAAGATGGATTTGTCTATGACCGATGAAAAAAAAATTTGGATAAAAATGCGTTCCAACGCAAACTTTTAGGAAAAAACGCTATTTTTGCGTTTCAACGCATCCTTTTTTAAGTTCAACGCGTTTAAACGCATCTTTTATATTTTGAACGCGTTTTTTCAAATTAAAACGCAACTTAAAAACGCTGTTTGAATGCATTTAGTTTTATGCGTTTGGACGCGTTTGTTCGTTATGCATTCAAATGCGTTTTTAGCCTTCTTTTATTGAAAAACGAGTGTTTTTCGAAATGCGTTACAACGTTGGTCTTTTTTATGCGTTTTTTCTCGAAAGAACGAATAGTT